AAATTTAAACAAGAAGTAACTTTAGTTAGTAGATGTATACTAAGAAATATTAACTAAAACAATATCGTTATATCTCTTTAGTGTAAATACAACCAGTGATTATTGAAAATGGTAAAGCTACCTCGGCTACACTATAATCACCTAATGCATGATGGCGGTTTGTGGAGCTTTCCGCTTGTAAGAATGTTAAATGAACAATCTTTGTTAGTTTTCCACAAAATTACTGGTTGTGTTTACACCATCGTAGTCAGTATCGTTCATTAACCCTGTAACACCAATTTGGTATTTTACTTAAATCAGCACCACCTTAAAGCAGCAGTGCCACCCGCTGCGCATCAGTTCGGTACATAACATTTTATCTTCGCAATCTCTCAGAAACAATTGTAACTTGGGAATATTCTTTCTTTATGAAGCGAAGCTATGGAGGCGTCATCAAGTGATGTAAACATATTATTAATGTGCATATATTTATTACGTTTATGTAAAACAGAAAAGCCTAAACAATTGTTATAACTCTACACAGGTTAACCTTTGCAGTTGCAAAAGTTCATGTGCCACAAAGAGAAAAGAAATTGAATTGGGATATTTTCTAAAGATTCTGTGTCAATAGATATTGTGATGACATTGAGATTTCTTTTTGTTGTAGCTGCACCAAAGGCAGCAAGTTTGACTGTTTCCTTTGCAGATGGTTGTACTCTTAGTTGTAATGCAAGAGATTGTGACACAAAGGTACATTGTGCACCTTCATCGAAAGAATGTTAGTTTCAATTGCTGTATCATCTGATCTGACTGTGGCAACGGCTGTCTTGAGTAATGATATTTGATGTGGACTAGAGTTTATATAACTCATCTGTGTTGTGGGTGCCAAGGTCACATGACTGGTATTTTGGTTTTGAGTTTCTTTATCCTGAGTATCTTCATTTTTTTGTGTAGCTGGTTTTTCTTCCTCGCATAGACTAAGTATGGTGTGTGCGGTTGCATTTGGCACAGCGATTCTTTGATTGACATTTTGAAGCCTAGTGATGACCAAGACAATTAAAGCATAGATTTTTTTTCTTGATTATTTCCACTCGCTTGGAGTGGTCTGTGACTGTTTGGCAATGTTTAGGTGAGTGGGCCTTCTTACAATAGACACAAGGTGGAGGGGCCTTTACTCAATGAGGGGAGTTGGGTTGAAGGACGATGTGATGGTCGAGGTATTGTTCTTACTTGTTGATGTTGGGTTGACGAATTTTCCTGCCTCTAGGATTCTTAGTTCTTGCTGAAGGGTGTTTCAAAGTTGGTTGATGGTCCAATCTTGAGTTTTGTGGTCCCGTGCTAGGTTTCTTTGTATGTTATCTGGGAACTTGCTAAGGTATTAAGAGGTCACCATATGACTCCTGCATCTTGCCAAAGGAAGCAAGACCATGGATGTGCGTTTCAAGTGTATCATAGAATCTTTGAAGACTTTCCAGCTGTCCACTAGGACCTTGAATGTCCAAGAGTGCCTGCATGTGTGCATTGATAACTCTGTGCTTCTGCCCAAATCTTTCCTTGAGGAGGGTCACAGCTTGTTCGTAGTTACTGTTCATAAGTTAAAACCCAGTGATTGAGTGTAATGCTTCATAGCTTAGTAGTGCCTTTAAATAGTTGAATTTCTAAATGCCGTTTAATGAGGGATTTCTACGTACTGCAACTTCGAAGGAATCCCAGAAAGACTGCCAGTTTAAGGGGTTCCCAGAAAATATAGGCCAAGCGAAGATCACAAGCCCAGAAGAACTAGAGGCAGAGATATTCACAGCTGAAGAATTGAGCTGTAACTTAAAAACCATATTCATAAGTACATTGATATTATCAATACTAGAATCGATACCAACGAACAACCTACTACAATAGAAGAAAATAACCTTGCGAATACACTATCTATTCCATCTATCTGGAATACCCAAAATGTGAACACGCATGCAAACATTGAGCCGTTGTCCAGTCTCAACCATAAACCTGGAACCCCCAGTAGAGCAAAACTCCAGTAACTTTCCGATCACTGATGACCCCACAGACCCCACACATTACTACACCCTGCACTCCCTCCGCCTCCTAAATAATGTCCAAACTACCAAAACAGAATCTGTCTAAATCTCGTATTCAGTCCCTTTTTCTTACCAGTTGTTCAACAGATGTTTTCAGGCTACATAACTCGGCTTTGTCTGGGTCTTCCTTTTGCAGAATTTTGCTTGCTTTGTTTGCCACTTTACTCACATGCGCTTTGTGAGCACATTGTGAGGCTTGTAATCTTGCAAGCTCCTTCATTCTGATCCTGTTCATGCCACCATGTACTGATCTGCAGGTTTCAAATGAATGATGGAGGAAACAGCAAGTATTTTCCTTGATTTATTGCATTTACATATACAAATACATTTACATAAACATTTTAATACGATAGAGAAGCGCATAACAAAACATGTGTTCACAGGATCATGTGATCATATATGTCAACTGAACTATATGTATTATATATATATATCTCGACTACAGCTTCGCGACAATTGATATACAATATCGCGACTGTTTCAGATAATTGAATATAAACAATTACACCTCACCGAAGTCCTGGATCACCTTACTTGCACACAATTATTACAGCAATGGCATGTACCTAGAAAGAATGAGTCTGATGAGGCAGTCCTGTATGAAAGCATTTTTTTTAAAAAGGCTGTCTATGAGAAGGATAGTGAAAACAATAGTAAGTGTAAAAAATCACAACTGCCCAATGAAGTGTATAATACCACCCCAAATTTTGCTAAAGTAATCAAACAAACTGAAATCAGGAAATTAGCCAGCAGTTTGAATTCTCATCAGGAGGAAAGCTATCTTGGATGGTTGCTAAAGTCAAATGATTGTAAGCCATATTCGAGGCTGCCCACCAGAATCTTCCATCAAAACTGAATTCCTCACTATGAATCACTGAAGACACACTGAATTCCTCACTATGAATCTTAATGACACTGCTATCCGTAAAGAAGTTTTAAATAATTTACAGTCCATTTCGGTTGAACAATCAAATAGCTATAGTGACACAGTAGAGGAATTAGGGACCTTAAGATCTACGACGTCAATAATCTACAACGGCAAGCGGAAGTAGTTTTGCAATGTTTGCAGTAAATGCGCATGCGACGCAAACCTGGCGTCGTCGAAAAAGGTCGAGAACGTGAAAACAAGTAGTTTGGCGTCCCAGCTACAACGTGAACGCTTTTTTAAATTTTCTGGTCATTTTAGTTGCTGTAAGTATCATTTATCAGTATTTAAAACTTGTTTTTAATCACTTCTATACAAGTAAATAGATAATTTTCATATTTTTTTTTCTAAAGACAAAAAATGCTAAATGACAGCTCTTTCATTTTTTGCAGTCGCAGACACGACTGATCTGATGGAATGGTCAGATGAACACGATGTTTTGCTGGGCCGGGAGATACTTTTAGTCGACCCATTTAAAGCTAAACCCCGAACAAATCTCCGTGGTCAGTTATGGACAAAGATAGCAGATTCTTTGAACGGTTTGAAGGTTCCAAAATTTTCTGTATCTCAGAGATCTGTTCGTGATCATTTCAAACTTTTGGCTGAAAAATTTAAAAAGAAAATTTCAGCTGAAGAGCGCGGGTCTGGAATATCTCCAGAAATGTCAGAGTTAGATGTCTTACTGGAAGAAATCCTTGAACTTGAGGAAAAGTATAGTGAAGAGTATATGCAAGACACAGCAGAAAAAACAAAAAAGACAAGAAGACAAAGAAAATGCAGAAGATATGAGGTTGAAGGCCATGGAGACTTTAAAAGAAACACAGAAGAGAAAAGCATTAGCTGATGGGAATGAGAAAAGAGAAAAGAGAAGAAGCAATGGGTCAGAGGCTTTGAGTTTTTTACGGGAAAGGATGGATAATGAGAATGAGTATCGAGAGAAGGAATTAGACATGAGGAAGAAAGATGTTGAACTGGAAGAGAAAAAAATAGAGCGAGAAGAAAAGCAGCATCAAGATATAATGCAAATGATGCAAATGCAACAAATGCAAATGAACTTTTTCCAGTCACAAGCCCAACAGCAGCAGCTTTTGATGGGAATCATTGAGAAACTGTCAAAATAAACAATTGAAATATGGGTAAGAATCTTTTTAATGTTTAAATGTTACGGTGTTCTACCCAACTGTTTGTTATTATAACTGTTACATAAGGTAAACAAATGAGGGCCTTTCACAAAGGATTTCTGATGGATTTCCCCCCCTTGTCTAGCATTTTCTGAATTGGTGACCCCATTCCCCTCAAACATCTGCAATGTTTGCAAAAAGGTATGCATGCACCTTGTATATCTCAGTGGAAAAAGCTATTATTTCACAGCATTGTTAAATTCCTCATTGAAGAAAAAAATTAGTTAATATAGAGTTAAAATTTTAAATGGAGGCAAAATGATTGCTACACCCCCTATGCCTGCATTTGTTCTGACCCATGACTTGAACATTCTTTGTGAAATGGCCCCTAATAACAATCTTGAAATAACAGTAATAATAATAAAATGAATGTCAGCCTGTTAGGCTATCATATCTATTTGTAAGAACTATGTTATTAAACTTTTCTTGATGTTTATAATGTATTTCATGAATTATTCTTCAGCAAGATACTCTTGGATTTTAGGTGGTGGAAGGTCGAAGAATTCAGATGTTATATTGCCATACATACATGTAATGCAATTTCTCAATATACCCGATACAATGTACATTTTTCCAACAGCACTTAAAGCAATTTTTAAGTTCTTTTTAAAGTCAACAAATTTAAAACTATTGACAATGTCCCAAAAAGCCATTCTACAGAGACACGAACACTACTCATACTTTTGTTAAATGCCTCCATGTCAGGATTAGGTTGTACTAGTCTGAATGGAGCTTGTAGATGAGTCCTGAGTGGGTACGCAGGATCCCCATAAATGCACATTGGTTGCCCATTTGTGCCATAGGCATGCTCTTCCAGCATTTCCATTAGCCCCGAGTATCGAAGCATGCCAGCATCATGTCTCTTTCCCTCTACAAATAAAAAGAAACAGATTTAACACTTTAACACTTATTACCTGTCCCCCCAGACTGGATAAATGCAAAGTAACCTTTAAAGGGATTTGTTAAAATCAAATTCAGAATAAAAAGATCAGGTTAAAAATGCACGTACTTACCCACAGGCCCATAAAGGTTTGCTAATGCCATTTGGGGTTACCACAGATTGAAATTTCAGGGCATGGTGCCTCTTGTGGCCATTGTAAACATGTTTTTGGTGTTCGTCTGGCCTACAAATCGCTTTCACAGTCCCATCAACGAACCCAAAACAATTTGTAAGTGCTGCTCCTTTGTTTGTGATAGCCTCTGCATATCTTTCCAGTTGTATGGGGTTAAGCAGCAGATTGTTCCACTGTTTAATACGGTGGTTGTGGCGTTCGTAAACAAACGAAATCACTTCGTTAAAGATCATCGATAGCTCTGGCACTGGTCTGCCAAAGCGCGGAACCAGATCACTCAAACGGCAAGGATACTATAACGCCGAAGCTTGAGACAAAGGCCTTCTGTTCCGTTGCATATCGTTCTTGTGGGCAGTAAAACTTCAGGAATCCTCAAAGCCGCAGCTAGATCTGGAATGTCATGTTTTCTGAACTGAAATTAGCAAAACACTCGTCTTCCCCCAATTCGTCAAGCTTGAATCGCCCATATGATTCGTACGGTAAATATAAGTTTTTGGGCGTGTACAACTGGCTTAGAATTGCAAACTCAACGTTGTCTATATCTCCGAGTGCATAACAAACTGTTATGAGTGCTCTTTAAAATTCATTTACATGATGAAAAATACCTTTTTTAATTGAAATTTTCAAATTTGTTTGTTTACAATATGACGTCAACGTTGTCAATTGCAACGTTGTGAATCTTAAACGGAAGTAAAACGACGCTCGACCGCGTCCTCCCTAGTGCTCTACTCGGATATGAGGTTGACGTCAAGGTCGAGTCGTAGATCTTAAGGTCCGTATTAAAGCATGCTGCAAATATTACACACTCAGAAGTATTCCAAATTGAAAAAAATACCAGGGATCAATCTTCCAGTGAGAAATGGTTTGAGGAGCGCAATAAGAGGCTCACATCATCTAATTTTGGTGCAGTAGTTAAGAGAAGGAAAACAATTTTCCCAACCTTGTTGCTTAACAAAATTAAAAACCAGGCTAAAGTCCTGAACCCTGTCAATGGGGAAAAGATAAGGAAGAAAAGGCTATTACAGAAAACTGTAAATTAGAAAGAATGAAGGACGGGGTGTTAATGTATGAGGGGTGATTTCCGCCATAATTAACTATGAGTATTATGCACTGGAAAAAAGCATTTACTTATTGCACCTTGCATTTAGGAATAAGGTCTCGTATTCAGTTATTCTCGTTTGCATTTCGATATTCAATTTTACATTTCATTATGCTGACGTAATGTTATGCATGACCCTCAGTGAACGATTTTTGAACAGTGACCGCGTAACACTGGAGCTGAGTATTTATGGAAATTTTCCCGCGGCTTTTATGTAAAAACATGGCGAATAGTTCGGAAAATTCGGATAATGTAAATCATGCTGTTCATCTTTTGCGCGAAGCTGCAGGCGTACTTGATCGAAACAACTCCAGTGTTTCATCTCCTGGTGCTGGTGGCAGTGGTCTACATGATGCCCGGACGCCATCAGCTGTAATATCAGCAAACAGTGGATCAGATTCTAGCAGTCACACGAGTTTCGCTACGCCAACAACGGAAGCTCTACGCAACTTTCGTTCGCTTTTTGCACCTTATGCTGGCAATGCCACTACTTCTCGTGATCGGCCTCCACTCAGACCACCTCCAAAGAAGGTATGCAGAAGAAAAGGTCAAGTTTATACTGCGAAACAAAAGGAAACTTGGACACATGAAGTTTGTTGTTTAGCCAATATGGACGAACAAGTAACTCCTACACATGAAAGAAAGGAAACCCTTCAAAATGCTGGCTTGGGTAAAAGTAAGATAAAATTTGATGCAAATGGCAATGCCGTTGAATTTAAGGCCAAGTTGGAAGAAGTATTTCCAAAACTTATCGATGGTCAGGGGTTTGAGCTGATGAGACACAGCACATCGGGCAGTCTAACTATTATCAGTCCACCGGCTAGTGGTTATACTGCTAAATATCTGCGTGATTCCTCTGGAATTGGTCAAGCACTGCTGTTCATACGTCCACTACAAGCGAACCTTGATATATCTCCACAAAATACTGATGTCACAAACTCTGATTCTGAGGTAAGGTGATAAGTTCTAGGATTTGTTAATGTATGGCCACTGCCTGTTTTTAGTTTTTTGGATATATTTATAAAATACTTATAAAGCCAATCTTGCGTTTTATAGGAAGTTGATGAGGCTCCCAAAGTCTCTTGCATAAACTGCAACCAGATTTTTCCAGTCACACTCATAACGCACCATCAGTCAGAATGTATTGAGTACGTAACTCTAACTGTATTGAGTAAATCTTATTTTTCAGGTAAAATTGGTAGAAATAAAAAATCCAGGGCAGCGATAAAAGGCCTTTGTTGGATGACACCGCAGAAATTGGTGTTTAAGACGTTTCAACCCGAAAATCTAATCGCTGGTTCACAATTGTGCATTTCTGTATCGCCCTATCAAAGAGAAACCTTTTGAATATCTTAAAAAAGTTCAATTTTTCTTCTGAATACGCATTCTGCAATCTTTTGACAGCTCATCATACACATCTGACCGCTGTGAAATGGCCATTTTGAGGTTTAAAGTATACACAAGGTTATTAATTCAGACGATTCGTTTTTACCGTGAGCAAGCTTCAAATCTTTTGTGCAAGACATATTTTCTTGAATATTTATAAATCTTTTTCCTCACCAAGTTTGAAGTCTAAGTATCGAGAATTGCGGCTAAGCCTATACCAATTTCCGCGGTGTCTTGTTGGATACATGTTAATTAGATCATTTTTAGTTATGTAACAGAAATGTCATCTTGCTTTTATTAATTTCACTTAATTATTTGACTTGTAGGACATTTATAGATGATTGCCCTTCACAGCCACCAGATAATCCTAGTGAAGTAAAGGTATAGCATAATAGCAGTTTAAATGTATGGTCAACATTAGTGTTTATGATAGGTCTAGAATCAGGCAGACAATGGAAATTTTAAAATCATATTACTCAATTTATATAATTAAAATCACAGAAATGCAGGAACCTAATTTACTTTGCTAGCAAATATTGTAGTTTAGAGAAAAATCTTTTTAATCCTTATTTTTGTAGGTTACAGATATAAGAGTGTCACTGCTCTTACCTCAGCTCAAACAAATTTTCCCTAATCACAATGATTCTTATCTGCAATTAACATTAGAAAATTCTGATTTTTGTGGATGTTGCAGCAGAGATAATTTTAGGAAGTGGTAAGTTACAGTATGATCAAAAATTCTTATTTATGCTATAAGTATGTCCCTATAATTACTTTATATTTTGTGTTAGATTCTCAAGTGTTAGTTCATCAGACTCAAGTGATGTTGAATTGGCTCTAAACAGCACCCTTGCTACACCAATTGTTTTGCGAGATGAAAGAGAGGCCTGTAGTGATCCCATATCATCCTATCAAATGCAATTATAACTTTTAGAGAGAGTACAATCTCTTCCAATTGTCCCCGCCAAGTGTTCAGAGTTTGCCGAAGTGAAGGTGTCGAACAGTTGAAGCTTGACATATTAGCAGCCTATAAGAACCCCAACACAAGTCTTAAAGCAAACCCAAAAGTCTGTTTTAAAGGGGGAGAGGGAGTTGGAACAGGACCTGTTCGGGAATTTCTTTTCTATGCTGTTAAGCTGGCAGAAGAGGGTATTGATTTTCCTACAAAACCAATTTATTTCGAAGGGGAGGAAGATCAAAATTGCCAGTCCATAATCAAGCGCTTAGGCAAACTGGAAGTTTTAAAGCAATTGGACGGATTCTGGCCCATTCATTTTTGCATAGTGGACCATCTATGGGTGGCCTGTCTGCAGCTGTCAAACATTATTTTACATGCATAAAAGACAAGGATGCAATTGCAAGTCCACCACCACTTGAGATTAAGGATATTCCAGATATTGAACTTCGAGGAATGTTGGAAGAGGTGAGTTCTCAAATATAGTCGAAAAGGTCATCTTTCAAGTGATAAATTAAATATACATCATATATCATTATGAATATAAATAAACATAAAGAGTAATTTTGATGTGGTTGATTTATATTCATATATATGATATATATTTAATCACTTGAAAGATAACCTTTTTGAGCCATGGTCAAAATCACATAGTTGATATTTATATGCTTTTGTGAAATTTACGCATGATTAATACAATATTTTTTAGTTAGGGCAGTTACCAAGTAATGCATCATTGCCAGACAATCTAGTCACAAATCTAATGCCATACCTTCATGAGGCTGGTGTTGATGTGGAACTACTAAACTCAAGCAGAGGAATTGTCATCCAAAGCCTGCTTATGTATTTTGTGATAGAAAAAAGGAAGCTGGAACTTGATGACATATCCACTGGTATGTCAAGTTCTACTCCACTTATTTTTATACCATTATAAACTGTTAAAAAATTCATTCTCTGCACTCTTTTATATTGTATTAACAGTTTAATTATTTTTTGGATCTTATTCCTCTTTAACTCAAAGATATTTTTTCTAGATGTAAGTCATTTTTATTTTCTAGTGGTAGCAATAAGGGTTTTTTGTTATTCTTTTGCACAGGAATGCAGGTGGTGGGTTTGAAATCATTCATTGAAAGAAATCCAGAGGTAATAAAGCAGCTATTTCCAACTAAGGATGGCTGTCTCATTAGTGCAAAAGAAATGAAAGAGAAAATCTGTTTTAATGATGATGCATCTGAGGGTCCTAAAGCAACATCAAATGAGTTCTTATTTCAATATATGGATTTGATTGAAAATAGGAAAGAAGGTGTGTACAAATCAGATGTATATGTACTGTCGCAGTAAGGCTGACTGATCGAGTTGCAATAGATATGGCTTGAAAGACAAAAATTTATTGTGCTACAAACATTACAGAAAAATCTCTACAGAATGTACCTGACTTCTAAGATTCTCAATTCCATAAGATGCATATTTAGCTTAAAATTTTGTTTACTTGGCTTTTTTAGATGGTGCACAACTTACTGATTTGTGCTGTTTTTGGACTGCTAGCAACGTATTGCCTCCACGGTCACATATGCTGTATGTCACATTTGATAATGTTGGTAATAATCTACTGCCAATGGCCGAGTGCTGTTTTTACAGTTTTGATTTTGCCAGTTAAACACACAAATTTTGAAGAATTCACCAAGTTTATGGATAAGGCACTAAAATATGGTTCCAGTGGGTTTTCTTTCTCATAATTAAACTAGTTACTAATTTATGAATTTTTCAAAAATACATCAATAGTATATACTGCTAGAGACAGTTAATTTCATATTCTGTTAGAACAATTTGTTAAAACTGGGGTTTTTGATGTTATTGAAAATAGTATTTTATGTCATGATCATTGAAAGTTTTGTACAGAAATTATAATTTCCTTGACATTGATATAAGAAAGGTTGGGGATCTGAAATGATATATACACAGAAATTTTAAGTGTCAGTCAGTCTAAGTGGTCTCTCCATCATGAACTGAAGAGCTTCACAATAAATATCAACACCATGATTCAGAATGACGGTTGGGATTGATTGTTCTTTGAAGTTCCAACCATGCATTTTCATCAACAGGGTGCATTGTTTCTGGAATTTCGACATGATTGGATGATTCCTCTGCTGGGTTTGGAGGAATAGGGTCTTCCATGTCTATTCCATATGTCTCTGGATTAATCTATGTATGAAATAACGATAAATAGGACTAAGGTAAATATAGAAAATTGTCTAGGCAACTACACTGCCACCAATCAGAATCAAGTAATTCTTTCCATATTGCATGGTATATTAATTAAGCTGGGGCATTCATAATTACTGCCACATCAGTACAGTTTATGCAAGTGTTCTACTGCCACATCAGTACTGTTTATGCAAATGACATGACACTTACTTCAAGATTAAACTCTCTAAAGACAGTCCGACCAGAATTTCTGTTTCTTAACATCCCATTTATCCATAGTTGTTCGCTCGGGCACTGGTTTCCCTCAGTGCTTATAGGTGCTCTGTTATGCCCAGCTTTAAAAATTTCCAAACTATGGTTAATTCTTGGCTGGTAAACAAAATGAAGAGCTGCCAAATGGCATTCATTAGAAGCATCTAAAATCCCAGATTCTTCCATGTGAACAAAGAGATTATAAAATGTGCTTGTGCATCAAGAAAACACATCTCTCCATAATCGTTCGATGCGCTGGTTATGGACACTTCGTCCAGTGATATGACTTCCACGATTAGGGCCACGTAAGGGATGAGTCGACATGTACCTTGCAACATCGACATTTTCGCCTCCTTTGTCCGAACGGACACGCGACGGCAAACCAAACTCTGCAACAGCATGCTCAAAATGCCTTAACACAGTGCTAGCCTTGTTATTTGTTGAGCAAGCCAAAAACACTATCATTCGTGAGAATCCATCTATGCCAGCATGGACCACAAATCTCCACCTAAAGCAAAACATTGAGGATGTAAGTAAATTATTTTTTGTCAATATCCATTCAAAATATTTTGTATACCACTTAAACCACTTTGTATAGCACTTGTTACATGCACTCTCAACTTTTTTTTTACTACCTTTACCTGCTTTTTGTTCTATTTCATGATAACATAGCAATTAGAACACACCAAAATTGAACAAGGCAGTATGGTTGGGACTGGGAGTATCTCCAAATGCATGTTCTTACCTAATTAATTTGTGGTTACCATCAATGTGCCAAAGAGCCAAAGGGGATGGCACTGAGTACTGCCTAGGGTTAATAACTCTCATTTCCAACGCTCTTAAAAGTGTTCCTTTGGGATCCACGTGACGCATCGACTCTCTTATTCTTTTTTGTTGGATTCTGATGCCACGAGCACTTAAATATCCAGTCATCCTTTTATAGCCAGTGTTAGGTAGCGTTCTCATGATATCCTGGACTGTAGTGTCCAGCTCTTGATCTGTCAAAGTTGCATAAGTTCTTCTAACAAACAAACCAAAACTTTGCAGTCGCTGTTGTACGGTGCGTTCACTAATACCAAATATTTCACCCATTTGTCTTGCAGTAGACTGCCTTTGGACCAAAAGTTCAGGTGCTCGTATGGAACATTATAAATAGGCCTTCCACGAGAGCCCGTAAAAATGGCTGCCGTCTCAATTTGTTCATACTGTGGTTGGCAAACGATTGTCAAAATTATAAAAGCTGGGTGAAGAAAATCAACAACCGCAAGCTCAAGTACGTCCATTTCATAGTATCTAGTGACGATACTTAGAAGCCATTCTAGCCTAAAATGAACATTTCCAAGACGTTTTCTTCGGAACCACTATCTCAAACTACCTGCACTTCACGCAAAATGCTTAAAATACAGTTTCGAACCCGCTCTCTAATAAATTGTCTCCTGGTTACCCCCATATTTTTATTGATCTTCTTCAAGCAGGTGCGGTCTTGACATAGGGTTAAGCGCGGCATGTGATGTGTCTGGACATTACACATTCTAGGTATCTATAATAAATTCGAACGATGCTGCTGTTTCCAGGCAACAATGACCTGAAATATAACGCACATTTTTTGTTGATTTTTCGAAGAAATCGGTAATATCTTTTTTATCCTTCGGTAAAATTTTTTAAAATTTTCTGTGGACATTCTTTGCCTCTCGCGACATAAATATCAAATTTTAAGGCAAAGTTGTAGGATAAGTTTTCGCGATATTCGAAAAAAACTATTACGAAAAATCCCTTCTGTAGATTTTTTCAAATTTGGATATTTTTTCTACACTCCCTGATTACTAATTCTGTTGAGTTTTAAAAAATTCACCGAAGAATACTAAAATTATTCCCTTTAGTAAATTGTAAAAACTTACGCGGCCAAGATAGAATTTCAATTCGACAACATCGCTATCTGCGCATGTCATTATCTGTCGCGTGGTGATCTCGCGCGAAACTATTCCTCGGTGGCCATACTGGAACTGGCTTCGAAGTGCTGTATGATGGATAGCAGAATTCGTTTTGTTTTTGTAACCCTTGGCTTGTTGGAATCAATTTGACTTGTCGGTGGCTGGATAGAACTCCAATCAGTCCTTTTCTACCAAATTTGTCGTAAAGCTGTTTAAGATCAGTGTAACTCAAGCCACTACCTGCGATTTTCTCTGCCATGGCTTTGGTGACTCCTTCACCGTTTACGTGATCGTAAAGTTTGGTTTTGAACGTTTGTAGCAGTTGATGTCGTTTGGCTAAGTACTGACTGTCTCAATGTGCTTGTTCAAAGGGGATGGGTTTACAGTGCAAGATCAGCTCATTTTCTGACAGATTTAGCCCTGATGTTAAAAGGATTCGTTGCAAAGCTTTCACGTCTTCGAGAGCATCATGTGCGTCGAAGTGTCGATCGAACAAAGCCTCGTAAACAGCAGACTGATTTAAAGCACAGCTATTTCCATCTCGATCTTTCAGGACTGACTGCTTAACCAAATGCTCGAATAACGTAAGGCTGTCACCAAACGAAATGCCGATGGATTGCATTTCCGCTAAAATACTGTTGTTGCTATTTTGAAAAAGCACTGGGACATCGAAACGCTTGGCATTGTGCCCAACCAGAACTGTACAGACTTCGCTATCGGTCAATTTCTGACATTCACGAACCAAATCTTCTACATAGTGGAGAAATCGAAGTAAAGCTTCATCACAGGTGAGTGCATTTACAGGATTTGAATCTTTAAATAATGTTCGTTTGCCATCAACAATTCTCACTGTTAGATTGTTTACCCTCAATGCATATTTGTCAACATTTTTATATGGCAAAATATACTCTGCAAATTGCACCAGACCCTGTTTGTCTATAGCGGCCAATTGGCATAGCTCTGCATTCTTCCCAGTCGTGTTTGTCTCGACGTCGAACACAATAATATTGTAGAAAACGTGAGCCTTGTATTGAATAGGAGAACATTGTGGTCTTGGGGTATAAGGTTGGACAATTTCCTCATAGGCAGCAAGTGTATCTGCTGGTAGGTCAGGACACAAAAGGACATCATGACTTAGTTTGTTAGCTTGTGGATTAGTAGCTGTTGGATATGTTAGGCCAATATTTGTCTCATATGTTTTACCCTCCTTCCTTTCACTTGACAAAACACCATGTATTCGCTTTGTGTGAATTTCATTTCTTCGCTTTTTAAATTCGATTGTTTGTTTTCTTTTGATTCCACTGTCTCTTTTCCTTTTCATCTCATTCACATATCTTTCACAGTGAGTGCCAGGTTCAATCCCCAATCTCTCCAATGTTGTACACACATAACCATAGCCAACATTTGTTTGGGCAACAGCACATGCCACACGGAAGGCATTACTCTCACTCCCCCATAATGTCGAATTTTAGGATTCTTTGACCCAACTGTGCTGTTGAAGGATTCATTTCTTTGGGAGTTAGCAATTGGAGCAAGCTTTTCCACCATAGCATCACAATACCATTGAACAGTTCAACAGCAGCCATTGGCTCCATCGATTTTGATGAGCCAGTATGATTTTTCCTGCAATCATGTTTACGTGGAGTAGTATTTGTTTCTTTGCATGTTCACAAATTCTGCATGTTTTTGTTTTTGTTATAAAATCCATTATTTTGCCTGTATGTGTGCCCATTGTAGCTGCTTGGCCAGTATATGAGTTGAATCCTTTTCCTCTTTTTTGCCAACCCATGTAATAACTGCATGCAACGGGTAAAAGGTTATTTTCATCGGGTATTGATCCAATTTCAATGGCATGTTGCTTTTCTTGTTCTATAGTGTCAACACATGTTTCTCGAACAACAGCTTCAACTGCTTTACCAACTTCTCGTTCTCGTCTCTTAAATATTGCTCGACTCATGGTTGGGATATTCATGACTGACAAGATTCCACTCAAGTGTGTTTCACCAATTCCTGAATGAAGACTGGCTAAGGTCGCTGTTGAATTTATGTTGTATGACTTTGGACCAGCAACTCCTGACTTGTGAGCAGGTGATGTTTCAATGATGTTGGTTTCATCACAAAACTGACATTGAATACTTAGTTTGCTTGCAAGACCATAAAGATTTTCTTGTTGTACATTGCTCAATGACAGTGGTCCTTAAATATTATAGAGTTATTTATAGTTTTTATCTGGTTCAAATCATTGTTGAAATGTACATTTTAGCTGTGTACATGATTAAAAGAATTTGCCGAAAATGTTCTAACGCTTGTTGATTTTATGTTATATATTTAATGTTTTCAACACTAAACCAGTATAATGTTTAATGTTTAGTAGTTGTCCGTGTTTTTATTACCTTTTGTACAAATTTTGCAATTGTTCAGTCCTTCTCGTAATGCGTCCATGTCAACAATTCGGTTTCCATGAGGTAAATTCTCCCTTTTTGCCTAATTTCAAATGGTGGCATTCGTTAATTTTAAATCTCTTAAATACTTTAGTGGTATATAACTTCGGAAAACATTTCTTTGTGTATTTGCGAGGCCTACCGTGCTTGCTCTTGTATTTATATTTATACTTTTAGCGATGTCCTTCGGCGCCGGTGTTGAGACTACTACGTCGTTTTCCTCGCCTGTACTTTCTTCTTCCAAATTTTTTAGCCAAGCATTTCGTCCTTTGTGAAGCTTTTCGATATTTCCTCTTTTTCTCTTAACAGTTTTTACAAATTTTCCAGACGATAGGCGATTATTATATCGAGCTGCCATGTTTGTTTTGAAAATTGTTGTCTACATGGCATTTAAAAATCCCGCGCTACTCTCGCAAAACGCGAAATTTTCCCGCATCGCGCGATTTACTCTTGCTTGCGTGAGCAATATTTAGTTATTAGTCCTAATTCTAAATTACTGTAGGGAGCCACCTTAAAACTTCCGCCACATCTTCCGCTTGAGTCTGGCTTGGCTTCTTTGGCTCTTCGCCATTTCACCTCCCTTGACCTCCCTTATTGGTGAGAACTTACCACAAATATTCTTTCTACACAGATACATCGCAGGAACACCCTAAAATGATTTTATTGAAACATACTTCCGCCCTGCTGTAACGTTGTGTTCAGAGCCGAATGTCGAATTCCTTCACTGTTTTAAATTGTGTTCTTATTAGAATTATAAATTGTTCTAGCAAATACTAAGCACAAAATACATTGCAAACCAAATTGATCAATAAACACAACTAAACAATATTTAGATAGAATTCAATTTTGAAAGTGTATTTCTCTTACAATGATAAATTGTCCCAGCAAAAACTAAGGACATTTACAGTAAACAAAGCTCATGAATAAACCCAACTAAACAATATTTTGTATCAAATGTTATACAAGTGAACACATCATGACTGAAATAGAGCAAAACACATATATACCTTGAAAATTTGCAGAATTAACCGCACTATGACACTTAAAGGACAAAACTCTGAATGTCAATAACAACTTAAGTAAAAATCACAATCGTTCCCAACTTGGCCTTGTAGCTCAGATGGTAGACCGTCGTTCTGGAAATGCGAAGGTCGCGGCTTTGATTCCCACCGCGGTCAAGTAGAATTTTCTGCTTGCCCGGTTGGTTATACTTGTGTAGAAGAACAAATACACCTTACATATGTATATATATATATATATATATTATAATATATATATATATATGTATATGTATATGTACATGTACATGTACATGTACATGTATATGTATATATATGTATTACATATATATATGTATATGTATATATGCATATACTATACATATGCATATGCATATGCATATGCATATGCATATGCATATGCATATGCATATGTATATGTATATGTATATGTATATGATATATATATATATATATTATATATATATATATTATATATATATATATATATATAAATCAATGAAGTTGTTCGCTACAGACTGGGGTTTTCACGTTTCTTCTGAAACAATCATCAGGTGAATGATTACTCTACAGCAGTTTAAGTTTGTGTGATGACGTTTTTGACGGGCTTGCGCTGATACAATCCAAAAATTGCACACGCGTTTAAAGTTTTTTGCGCTGAATCTGTTTTTATGTCTACATTTTGTGAAAAGTTCACTTCTTTTGTTAATGTTGTCTTTTTCCAGGATTTAAGAATTGCCATTTTTTCCTCCAGGCACAGGTTGCATGACCGTCCGCTGGCTGAGTAAGCCGGAATGCATTTGATGATTGTCCACTTGATGTTGAATGGTTTGTTTAGTCTTTTTAGATTCCATGTGTGCTTTGATAGTTCAGTTTCGCATTTTTAGGCTGGGTTGTTTATGGATTTCTTGTGGTTGTAGTATCTGGTCTTGAACGTACCAGCTGTGACACCGATGTAGTTCTTCGACTCAGGAGGATTTGTAGTTGTAATCTCGGCATTATTGACGAGGCTTTCAGTTAGGCATTTACCAAGGAGTGGGCATTCATTCTTAATGCGGCAGTTGCAATTTGTTCGATCTGACAAGGTTTGTTCGATTTCATGATGTTTCGGTTGTGGCTGGAAATAACACTTTTTATGTTTGACATGCACAAGTAGCTAACTTTGACTGAATTGCGGTTAAATATCTTGTGAAGCTTTGAGGATTTTGGAAAGTGCTTATCGATTATTTGAAGAAATTTCTGCGCAACATTAGTTTTAACGTTTTTACTGAAAGTTGGGTTAAACCAGATTATGTTCCGCTTACGTTGTGAATTGTGACGGTGTTGGCTTGGGTTGTGTTGGTCAGAGTAGGTGAGCCTGATATTACAATTACAATGTTTGAGTGATTCTTCGTAAACTGGCAGATTCTCTTTAAAAGATTTTTCGTTGGATGATAGTGAGGATAGACATTTGTTGATTGACTTCGGTATTTGCTTGATGATGCTAGGTGGATGGTTAGATCTAGCGTCAACATATAGTGGCTCGTTGTTGTATGCCAAACAAACCATTCAACATCAAGTGGACAATCATCAAATGCGTTCTGGCTTACTCAGCGGGCAAACGGTCATGCAACCTGTGCCTGGAGGAAAAATGGCAATTCTTAAATCCTTGAAGGAGACAACATTAAACAAAAGAAGTGAACTTTTTGCAAAATGTAGACATAAAAACAGATTCAGCGCAAATAACTTTAAACGCGTGTGCAATTTTTGAATTGTATCAGCGCAAGCACGTCAAAAACATCATCACACAAACTTTAACTGCTGTAGAGTAATCATTCGCCTGATGATCGTTTGAGAAGAAACGTGAAACACAGAGTGTAGCGAACAATATATTCAAAATTTTGTAATATTTTATTGATTTTATTTTAATCGCTCTAATAAATTTTGATATCGAGCACTCTTTCTTCTTGGATACTTTACTTAAATATATATATATATATATATATATATATATATACAGTGTATATATATACAGTATATATATATACAGAATATATATATATATATATATATATATATATATACATACATATATACAGTGTATATATTTCAAAGAATGTTAGTAGTGCACGTGATGGTTCCACGATATAGCTGATATTTCATGCTGTTGTTTGCCAACTAATGTTCTCCCTTTCCTTGAATGATGATCAAAGTATTGATGATCTTAAGTTTGCCCTTCTTGATTTGGATGAAATCAAACCATAATACAATTTTAGAATTGAACTCTCTCTAAAAATGCAAGAACATTTGAACTTGTAATTTTTATCTTGAACTATATACGAACTTCATATGTATTTTAATATGAAACATTTATTGTTGTGTTTATTCAATTTTTCCCACAAAACAAAATTTCTGTGGAGGAGTCCAAAACGAAAATGTATCTATATATTATTGTTCTACTCAGGGACCCCTACACAGTCACTTTTAACCATCTAGCGCCCCAATGTAAACTGGAATATCCCTGAGAATAGGGTATTTTAAAGCTAAAATTTAAGTATGTTGCTCCTGAGTTTTTGATATACTTTAAAGAATAGGCACATTAAGAAAGCTTCCTTTGTAAAATAGGCCAAGAACTAATAACTTTATTGCATGCCAATTTTTACATGATTTCAAGAATCGTATTAATTAAAATTTAATATGCATTTTCAAACATTACATTTTAAATAGTATTTTTAGTCTAAAAGATAAATTTCACAGTACACTCTATTTTCATATAGTTGATAATAGCTTACCAGAGGAAGCCATGTCACTCTTGCCACACTATAAAGGTTAGAAAAATTAATGTTAAGGCATAGTTTGAAAAAAACTATTGCTTCATATTC